CCTGCACATACTACATTACTCGTTGCTATATTGGGCAAGCCTCAGAAAAGCTTTGAGGATGTCAAGAACAACTTTTGTTTACAAATTATACATTCAATTTGAATGTACAGTATTAGTAAATTGATCTACTTACATAATCGGCTCATTAGTTTTGTATATAAAAATGAATAACCAGTTAGGAATTTAAAGGTCTCACTCGACTGACCTTGCACTGTTGAAATTATATGTGTATAGTGCACTAGCCGCTCATGCACATGTTATTGGTGTGTTCATTGATTTGAGCAAGGATTTTGACACACTAACTTGATCATTTAATTCTGCTGTGCAAATTAGGACATCTGAAAAACATAAGGACGCCAACTTCTCGAAACATTGCATATCAATTATCAGGAAAAAAATTACCTCCTGGACAATCATCCCCTGGAAATTACACCCCGGACAAATAATAAAATGGCCATCAATATGAAGCATATATTTTTACTCAAAATTTTCTGACAACAACACCAACATACTTTATGAAGTTGCCGCACTTTATTTTCGATTTGTGTAATTAAAGCACGCTACGTAGGTTTTGAAACGAAGAGACAAAGGCCGTTTGGCCCATTCCCCTCCTTTTTTGCTGCGTCTTCATTTCTCTTTCCATCTTTCTCTGACTTTTTATCAATACATAGTATGCAACCTATATTTTTTATTCTTGTTATATTTTATCATATCATCTCGCATGTTATTCCTTTTCAGGTAAAGGCATATTTGGTGATGGCTATCATTAGTGCCCTATTTGCTGTTGCTCAGATCGGTTTGACTTTAACTCAAATAACGTTCTGTATCTCCGATGTCTCTTTTACTCTGTACTCTGTTACTTATACGGTAAGAAAAGAAAAAAAAAATCAAATTTGATTATAAAACACAAAGTTAGAAAATTCAAACCATGTAATGCACTGCGGGGCATCATTTTTTCGCAGGTTCGTTTATCCTAAGGTTCATAATTCCGAGATTGCATTAGGCTAAGGATTCATAATTCCGGAAAATGATAAAGGGATCGTTAGTGATACAGGGGTCTTAGACTCTTAGTTATTATCGGAATTATGAACCTTCGGAATTACAAACACCGTTTCACTTTCGGAATTACGAACCTTCGGGAACAAAACGTCGTGTTGCCTGGAAAAAATAGCCTTTCTGCCTCTCGTACAATATCAGCTCACGAAAGATCTCATAGTCTTTTGCTATAATAGCTTGTTTCAGCATTCCCGGGAGTGAATATCATAAAGGTACCGACTATGACACACAGGAGGTAGATAAGTATAAGTTAAAGCAAAATTCTCTAGAGTGAAATCCTGTGTTAAATGCTTTTATTTGCAAGTGCCACCTCCACGCCCTCTATCTTACAACTTCTTTCTCCTTTTGGTTTAGGCTAAAAACAAGGCCTGCCTCGCCTTATCCCTTATCAGCAGCTTTGTAACATTTGTGGCCAGTATCACGGCTTCTTGTACTGCTTGTGGCGGAGTGTGCTGTAATGTTTCTATGCCTCCTGTATCGATACAGTCTGGTAAGTAGTTTGAGATTTTTTTTTGTCTGCTCTGAGGGGCATGGTTAAGAACATTGCACCAAGGGGATCTCGAAAGTGTGATGTAACGTGAGACAAAGTAGAAGGGCACAGCACTATACTTTTCGAGATCACCGAGCCCATGCAACAGTCTGTCATGAATTTTACATTCGTCATACAAATAATCTACGCAACTGATTGGTCCATTGCGCATCATGTGATGAAAAACATTACACAATTCATGATGGTCGTTTCATTATTTTCCTAAGTAGAGCAACCCTCATTAAGTAGAACTATTACATGTCGCCTAATCAGCACCATAGATTGTTAACTAATCTAACCTCTTTTCTTTCTAGAAACTTTAACATAAAAATACGTTTTGGTGTAACCCAGCATGATATTTTAAACAGGGCCATCGAATTTGGTTGAGAGTTTCTTTTTTCTCATCATGTCATCCTCCCCCATTACTCGACACTCATCTTGATCTTTTGTCCTATTTGTGTTGCCATTCAATAGAGGGCACGTGTCCCCCCCCCCCCCCCCCCACATTTAACTACACCACTGTCCCATTATTACACATACCGTCGGGATTATTAGTTTTTGCTTTTGTAGCTGGGAGAGTAGATGATTCTAATCTTTCTCGCTCTCCATTGTATTTCAGACAATGTTACAGCATACCGTGTATTCGAAAATGAGCAAGGTATGTATCTAAAATAAACATTTACATACAAATAGGTGAACGGTTGGTCAACATACACTGAAGGCTTTTTCAGATATACCGCGGTTAAACCGCTACGTTTTTTCTTCTGTACGTGTAACTGCGCGCAACAAAGGTCCTACGCGTATTCACTAATGCTACGTTTACACTATGTTCCCGGCGGCCATGGCAGCCCCGTTTGCCCGAAACGTAGTGCGCCGTGGGATTTTGGCAACATTTTCTCTGTGTTCAAGTTTTGTTAGGTCTTGTCAAGTTTTCTCACAGTCTTTCCGTGACGGGCCGTACGGGGAAAGGGGCTGCTGAGTCCCGGAGGCTTCAAGAGGCACTACGGTTCGGCCCCGGTCTACCACGGATGCCAGTTCATTCCCTCCCGACCCGTCACGTTCTGATGGGATCCCTCACGTTCTGAATGGGTCCCTCACGTTTCATACGTTCTGATCAAGGTTTGACACGTTTTTCACGTTCTGTCAAGGCTTTCTACGGATGAAACGTGGACGCCGTGCAGCTTTGGAGCACGGTTGTGCCCACGGTATATATAAAAAAAAAGAAGGCCTCCCAAGCAATAAAGTACAGCGTAGGGTGCTGCTGGAGTCAGTCAACGATGAGCTCCTTCTCATCCTCCGTAAAGGTGGTGACGACCCTTTGGGCTGCCCTCCTCCTAGCTGGTGCGTCTTCCTCAGCCTCCCCAGCCTCCCGAGCCTCAGGTTCAGATTCCAGTTTAGGGACCCGGTCAGCAGCAGCAGCAGGTTCCTCTTCATGGCAGGGGTGAACGGCGAGGATCTTCCGGCTGTTCCTGCTCCTCTACTACTGGTGGTGGTGGTGGTGGTGGTGGTGGTGGTGGTGGTGGTGCAGGATGGAGGGCCTTCGAACGTCTTGGCTTTTTCGGTGGCAAAGCTTGGCCTTCTTTCTTCGTTTTGTAGATGCAGTAATGTGTCGTCGATTACTCAGACTCAAATGAAGCTCCTGCCGCGCCCGTCTTTTTTGTACTACCTCCCGACCGTGTGCGCCGTGTCAGAACGCGGTTAACCCTCAGACGCAAGGATGCGCCGTGATTAAACGCGACAAAACGGCTACCATACACCCTGGACTGCCGTGAAAACCGGGGCAAACCTTGGCAAAACGTGACAAAACGGGATGAACTGCGCAGCAACCGTGAAGCAACCGTGACAAAACGTGCACAAAACGTGGCAGAACGTATTACAAAACTTGAAAAAACCGTAAGATGCCGGTAATGTGCGGGCTTCCCGTCCCACTACGGACCACCTCCAAGTTTTGTTACGGCCTATTAAGGACTGTCACGTTGTGTAACGTTCACCCGTTTTACTACGGCCTACTAGGTTTCTCATCCGCACCGTGACTGCCGTGACAATTTTTTTGACAGTTTAAAACTCTGACACGGTATCCACGGCAATCACGGCCTGTCACGTACCCGTGAGAGTTCCTTATGGCGGTAGGTTCAGGGCACAGTGCATTACAGTAAGCCTAGCAGTCGGTCATAACATAAGTCCCACTTCGTGACTGACGACACCTTTTATTGGGCATACTCCCGAATGGTGTCAAATTTCTCATGAGAACTCATTACCATGATCATTTGAAATCGATCCCTGAGGACCGTTAATGTTGTGCACATATTTGTTTTTTAATGGCGCCCCGTGGTACATTTTTGTCTTTTACACTTAGTTCAAAATTGATACATTTGAATACAAGGTTCAATGAATTCATATCTTTAATTTGATTAGAATGAAAATGAAATTTGAAATAGGTGTATTCACAATCCACAGCGCTATCTAGCGGCACCAGTGTTTAGTCGATTTCACGCGACGCATTATGGGAAAAAGTCGACAAAAGTATCATCCGTCGGCATTATCCTAGAAGAGGGCTTCTCAAAGTCCGAACGGCGGTAAAGATGCGGACTTCGGGGGGGGGGGGGGTCAGTCCAGACCGCCCGGTGGCTTTGTTTTTTGTTGTATTTGTGTTAACATTAAAAGGGTAAGGGGCAGAATCAACACCCGTCCCCTATCTTTTGATACCAAATTTATTTAATTTCTACCAAATGGTACCATGGGTACTGCATAGTGTATCAAGTCATATGGTACGTTTTCCCATAAAATATGTTTTGTGAACAATGTAGAATTGTCACTTCGCAGATATGTAAATAATTAATTAATGATAATAAAACAAAAAATTTGAGACATAGATATGAAATTTCATGAACTTATTCTTTCAGTTTTAGTTCAAGAATTGTTCGTCATTCTACGGCCGAGATTCCGAAAGGGGTATTCGTTGATTTAGGGGGGGGGGGGCAAAGCATGAACATTTTAATTATTATTTTGTCCAAAATCAGGCCAAATTATTGGTCAGTATCTATTGCTGGGTGGGTGTTGACATCCAAATTCAATTCTAAAATGAACGCTGATATCAAAACAATCAATCCCATTGAATGAATTTATTCTGTTCGGTTCACTTTGGTCATTTCAATCGCAGGATAGCGTTCTGCTTTGCTGGACGAGTTGAAAGTTGTCAGCCCGCAAGCTGGAAAATTGGCCTGCCGCTGCTTGCCGGTAGGTCGCTTTCAATTAGGAATCCAACCAATGAGCTCAATAGAGATTTTTGTTTGAACTTACATGTGTGTCTAACGCATAACCTATATGAAAAAAAGAACAATTGAATTGCTGTGCCGCCCAACTGTATCCAAAAAATATCCCTTTCCACACTTTATTTTCCATTTTCATCAGAGCCACAAATTGACGTTATGCCCGACGTAGACGGCTTGTACACGGATTGGGAGATAGAAATGGCAGAGCCAAGGAAGGAACAATTTGACCCCGAAGAAGTAAATATACGCTTTAGGGGGTCTTCATCTAATTTTCGAATTGGTTGGTCATTAATTTCTCATTTTCTCCGAAGTGCCTTCTCCTTTGGGGCTACTCCATAAATGGATAGCATATTATTATAGGTCTTCTTAAAAGAAAAGACCCTCCTGAGTTCAAAAAGATTAAAATTAAAATGTTTAGGTATTTTATGGGTTGTAACAAATGGGAGAGTTGTCAGCTTTTATATCACAGTGACATTCCCGATTTGGCCAATTTGAAATTCCCTTAACAGTGATTAAAACTTTCGAAACCTCATAACTCTCTTATTGTAAGTTATATTTCGTTCAAATTTTTTGGTTGTCTAATGCTTTCTTTCAGATGAATTTGCTATAATAATGTTTGATTATCGTTTATTCCCGTCAGAATTACGCGTTGCATACATCTGACTTCAAGGGGCTCGTACTCATAATAAACAATGATCGTTTCCATGAGGCAAAAGATCGTCCTGGATCGGAGCGGGACTTGATAAATATCGATCATGTCTTCAGCCAAATCGGCTATGAACCTGTCATCATGACAAATTTGTCTGCCAATGTAAGTAAACGTCGTTATGCAGAGAAAAGCGCTACTTACTGTCCAAAACTCTAGGGAACCGACGCCAATAAGTGACCTGCCAATGTCACAAATAAGATATTAAAATATGCTCATCTTACCGTAATTAAATGCCGAAAAGATTTGAACTTCCGGGGGCTCTGTCCCCTGGACCCCACCTGATGCCCTGAGGCGAGCCCCCGGGTGTTAATCCGCCCGGAATTTAATGCCTTAACCCGTTGTCAACCGGGGGTCAATTTATCCCCCCCCCCCCCCCTGTAGTAATTTCGCGACTACTCCGGAACCGCGGCAGACATAATTTTGTTATTTCATGACTTTTTTTCTTTCGAGACTTACGCATCTCTTGGAACAAATTTTTCGAAAACTGCCATTACAAAGTCACGTGACCTTTTGTCTTTGCATGTTAGCCCGAAAATCGCTAATTTTCGTGATTTGTGTACAAAACATAAGGAAATATTTTTTTAGAGCTAAAACTTTAATTGTTTGGTCTTGTTTGTATTTAAGGTGTATATTATGGGGGTCAAAATAGTTGAATTATAGTTAGAAATGAAATTTAAAAAAAAACAATGAAATACATAAGAAATTATCAAAACAAGAGATAACATTAAGAATGACCTGACTCTTCCAATTTTTTTGTGGTATTATTATACCAAACGGTCTAACGAATATATGTAGTGAAAAAGAAAGGGGGCAAATTGACCCCCCCCCCCTCCCCGGTTAAAAACCTGGTCTGAAATAGCCCGGTTAAAATAGGGTTAAACCCCTGAAATTCCGGCGACTCCGCCCCCTGGACCACACCCTAATTAGTGACCAGCCAATTAGTGACCTATCAAAATATGCTCATCTCACTGTAATTAAATGTCCATACCCCTGAGCTTCCTCCTTGACTATGCACCACAGGGGATTTGCCCCCAAGACCCCACGCCAATTTACGCTACCCTCTACCTGATCTTAAATACTTAAGCCTCTCCCAATCCACATTGAAAAACGTTCAGCGGGGCCTGCATGTAAGGAAAAAAAGAGTTTCTGCTCATTACGCCACTGCTAGTCACCATTACGTACCAATATTTAGCTCGCATGATTTCAAATTTGGACCCCCCCCCCCCACCCCCGTTACACATTGTAACGAACTTTTCTTCACCCATCAATGATGAGCGAACTTTCTTTCAACAGGTGATTTACTTTTGACCAATCGTAGAGCAAGTTTCTTAGTATGTGGAATATTATATGCATTACCATAGAAAGACAATCTCATTAAAATTAACGTAAGTAGGTCAAAGGTCATAGAGGTAAATTTCTGAAATTAAAGGTTCTTAGCCTAGCTATCGCAATGTCTGAATTACAGGATAACGTGATTACTTTAGGAAGATGATCCAATTACATTTGAGGCTATGCTAGTAGGTCAAGATCATAGTCGTTGGTTGACATTTCCTTATACATTGTCGCTCATTTAGTTGGATTTTTTTTTTTTTACTCCAATATATGGAATTAAAAAAAAAAAAAAAAATCTAGATAATAGTATACATTCTCAGATTCTATTAAATAATAATTTGCCAATGTGTGTTTTGCGTGACTGCTAAAGCATATGCATGCTACTATGCTTATCAACTAGGGGACCTACGCCCTTAAGTCATAAATGACAGTAATGAGGATTAATGCCCCCACAAAAGGGCACTAATATAGCAGATCGACACGGTTTTGATCTTGGGGCCTCAAAGTTACGAGGACATTGCTGTGTCACCGAACCATGACTGTACACAGCGGGGGCAAGGGTAGGAGGCAGTTTCCATAAATTAAAAAACAAACAGAAAATGCTACAAAAAAAAATCAATAATTAATTGCATTTAACCCCGGTCCCCAACATAAAAAAATCCTCTGGACGGCCATGCATTATGGATTATATTTGCTGACATATCTTCCGGAGATAAAATTATATATTACTAGGGTGGTCACACTGCCTGTGCACACGTTCTGCCTCATGCACACACACACACACACACACACACACACAACAGCAGTCAGTTGGTAGAAATAGCAATTTTTCTATTTTGTTTTTTATACTGAACATTATTTTTACATCTTTCAAGCATACCTTTAACTACAATTCTGTGTAGTTTCATTGTTATAGGAATGTGGGAAATATGTTAAATTATTAATTAGAATATTGTCTTTACAGCCATGTGTGACATGGCCCGCTGATCGTCCATTGACTGTTATTCTGCGTGGTGAAAATGCACCTCAATGTATAGAACTCCCCTACAAAAATGCAATATCCTCATGTGTTTCACTCATTGAATTAATTTGTTGTTTATACTCAAGATAGCCACAACAGTACTAAAGTAACCAAACTTTGTTTTTTCTAAAATTCAGTCTTTGTGGAATGTTATGGCCTGTTGAATGGTTTCTCGGAAAATCGTCATAAATCCTCAAATCTGACATTTAAAAAATATATATATACTGTGATGTAGCTGAAAGTCTGCAAATTCTTATCATTGATCGGTTTTCTGAATAATTTGTGAAACATATGAGGAAATAGCTGTAACGGTGATCCAAGTAATTTCCATCGCCATTTTTTATTGGCATTGCAAAAATATTTGGAATTTAATGTTAATATTTGGTGTAAATATGATCTATAAATATATAATTTTAAAAATGCCAACGAAATGAACAGTTTGACTTTTGTATATATATGATTAGCTGAAATGGCCTAATTTGCGTATTTGATGAATATTCATGATTTTTTGTTTCTTCAAAAAAATATATTTCCCTACCTGTCTGATATACATAGGTTTCATTGATGTATCATGTTCGGTTTTGATTTGATTACATATACGCATATTAATTAGGCGGACTTTTTTTCATATCTGCAGATTCGCAAAAATGGCAAAAATGACTTATTTTGTTTGCTTCTGTTTTCAAAACGGTAATAGATATATGAATTTTCTTTCTTGTATTTTTTTTTACCACAAAGATGATATTTTAGTGTCTAATAATTTAATTTATTATTTGTGTCCAAGAAAGTGATGAATTAAGTTGTCAACTTTGTCGAATTTTGCCATTTTTGCAAATTTGACCATTTCTGGCAGGTTTTTCGGTAATTTTGCGATATCAAAAAAATGGTATAAAATCACAACGCATTGACCGATTTCAATTCTGTTTTTTTTTTTTTTTTTTTGAAGCTTTCATAAAGCTTGATCATTTGCAATCATCAAATAACATGTGTTTCTTGTACTTATTTTTAGTGTGCTATACCTCAATTACCCTTACTAAAATCATATTGACCTCGTCTTCGACTCGGTCATGTCACATTATCAATTCCCCTTGCAGGAAATTCGTACCTTTCTGGACAAGTCTGTAAGCAGAATAAATCTAGAGGGATCCATCTGTCACTCATCTGTGGTTCTTGTTCTAATGAGTCATGGTGAAAAACAAGGCATCTATGGTACCGACTCGGAAGTTGTGACAATTCAGGAAATCAAGTCTAAGTTTTCTGGAAGACAATGCCCAACCCTCCTCGGAAAACCAAAGATGTTCTTCATCCAGGCATGTCGAGGACGTAAGTCAAAGATTTCGGTTTGATATATATATATATATATATATATACGGTTAGGACTCGCTAATCTAATAAAGTAATGTTAAAAGATAAATTCATTCATACATGGGGCTACAGGCGGTCCTCGTAAAGGTTATATAAGGGTTTTAGAAAACAGACATCTCACGAGACCTACAATATATCGGTCTCGAGAGCCTTCTATAAAGTTATCTGAGGATTTCAAGAGAACCATTCCCCGATTCCTTTACATTTAATTATGTTCAGTATATAATAACTTCATTCAGTTGCAAGGGATGTGACCACATTTCCAATTTTTAATGTTTAACTTTCAATTTTTAATTTTAGAAGCTAATATTTACATTCAAGGGTAATAGCGGAGTCTGTAAAATGCCATACGACAAAGTATTCAAGTGTAAAATGCAAGATATTTCATCGTTCCCATTGTTAGGGGTGTGGGGGGGGGGTAGGCCTATCTCAACTGTTAGTTGAATTATATTTTACATTTAGAATTAAAAAATATGCCCTCTTAATTTCACACCCGATTCCAGAAATGCGCACAAAGAGCGCTCTAGACACTGATGATCCTAGAAGACTTTCGACAATCGAGTTGGTGGATGATTCCGACATCGATTCTTGTTCATCAATGAGACCGACCGACGATGCAGTGGATATTGATGGCGATGTTCCAGATAACGCTGATATATATGTGGCCTACGCCACTTCCGAAGGTGAATTAAAAACTGTGCAATCTAAAAACGAGTGAACAGCTAATTCATTATATCATGCAAGAACTAACTAAAGAATGGACGATATCCTCTATACTTTTGTTGTAACTTCGATGTTCATTGTTGTAGTGCTTTGATCGAAACCTTCTGATATGTCGGCAGAATAAATTCAGATGAAATGTATCAAAAACGTGTCAGTGACATTGTGCCCTGTTCTATCATTGAAATAAAAGATCAGCTTACCAGTCCAATATAATATATGATTCATATATTGTTATTATGATTATGTTTATTACTAAATATTGATGAGAGTACTAACATTCTAGCCAGGATGAAAACCGAATTGGCTTCGAATCGTCGACAATCACACAAGTCTACTGATATGTCGTCACTACGATTCTGAGTCGATTTAGTTATTCCTCTTGTTAGGAAGCTTGAATCCATTGAAATTTAAATTTTATTGATCAATAAGATTTTAGAAGTGTGAACATTCTTTTTAAATGCTATCGCAAAATCTTTCAAAGTCGGATCGTAGTCAGATCGTATAGCGTGTACGGTGGGCTTAAGTTACAATGAATCACTTTTGTATTTATTTTTGCAGGATATTTTTCAATTCGCGATCAAGTGAAAGGTTCCTGGTTCATACAGAGTTTGTGTGAGGAGTTGATTGCCCACGTACACATTGACGATCTTGATACCATCATGAACAGGGTGATTATCAACAATATCTTTCTTTATAGGGATAGTTGCGTTCTGTTGTAGAGGGCGCTACACAAAATATTTGTTTGTGAGATAATGAAAAAACTGAGTGTCAAATTTGAAAGAACATAACATTTAAATGACAACATCTTTGTTTGATCAAAATCAGTTCAGAGACCGCTGAAATATCCATAAATATAACGATTTCTAATACTTGTGTACCACCACAAATATTCCATCATTTGCCAAAGCCGTTGAAAAATCGAAATAGCGCCTTTTACGTTGTATTTCAGCCTATGCCGATGTTGGCAAATGCCTTCGACGTGCATGGTTACTGCTCTTATTCCTATCTATGACATTTCTAGTGCCCTTTCAGAACCTAAAATTGCTATGAAAGGTAATTTTAGACCCCAAATTGTGAAATTTAGCCAATACGGTCAAATCAATACCTCAGCGAGCGCTGGGTATACCCATTTACATCTACTAGATGTAAATCTCAATCTAGATCTAGAGTAATTCTACCACTCTCTACCTAGCTTGAGAGTGGTAAAAGTACTCTAGAATAATGCCTTGCCAAAGGGCGTTAGTGTCGGGCCGGGATATTCGAAACCTTAACCCTAAAGGTCTACCAGTTAATTGAATGAGCCACTATACCACGATACTTCCATAATGTATAGTAAAGTAGTATTTATTTCCATAGAAAAGCATATACAATGTAACAATATAACAATACAAAATAAGATAACAAGGAATCTTTCCTTCACATAGTGAATAGACATATTATAAAGACGTGAAAATCGTGGCCCAGGACGTTGACATTACTCAGGCAGGGCCTAACATGTAAACATATACATACAAACATATATACTTGTTCTAAGATCATTAGCAGTCAGAAGTATCAGTTATAATATGAAAAATTTATTATGGGGTTCGTTCAATCTAAAAATATAATAATATTTATGTAATGTAGAACGTAATGGTAAAGTTTAGCGGAGAAGGAGGATGAAGTGGGAAAAGGGAGGAAGAGAGACATAGCAAAGGAGAGAGACGGAGAGAATGAATTTACAACAGATTTCTTGATTGCATCTCACGGAGAATAAGCTGTATCGTATTATACACACATTTGTTATAAAAGTTGACTTATCATTATTTAAAGAGTTCTCATGAATTTTGTAGTAAAAATTTTGGTCATTTGCTTCTAAATAATCACACATTTGAGTTGCTGTAAAAGGTACATTGCATAGTTTACATTTATAGTTTATTCATAGTTTACAATTGATGATAAACCCGATTAAATTTAAAATCACTGTTTTGTTTGTTGTTGTTAAAAGAATTAATGTCCAAGTATATATTTTGATAGTTGACAAATACAATTGTAGCATCGAATTTCATTATTTAGTAATTGATTTGATAAAAATTGACACAAAATATACTTTCCAATTTCAATTCAGTCATAGACTTCAAACTATATAATTATATCAGTATATATCAATATCTAACATTCAGCTGTTATATTCGTGTCCTCCTGGTTCCTACACGTATTTTTCACATCTATAGGCTGTTATTGGAGGAGTGGAGGAGTGGATTTGTACGGGACTAAATAAATAAAGAGTTGATGCAGTATTAATCAGTGGACTCTACACAATTAGTTGATTGGGCGGGGTTAACAATACGCTTGTGTGAATACTGAATTAAAAAAAATCTACGGTAGTGCATGCCCTGTAGTATTTATTTTTGTAACGTATTATATTTTATTTTTTCATATTTTCCCAGGTTGGCCCATTCAACAAAAGATAATCTTCCATGGGGCCCTGAAAATACATCACAACTATCTATTTGCCCCCCCCCCCCTCCCCACCCAGGCTATCACGCTATCAAGCAAGCGCTTATAGTGATGCCCCTTCTTCTGCAGAATTCTTAAAGAATAATTCATGGTACGCGTTTGTGTACACGTCAACAAAAAAGTTGTTATATTTTGTACCTGTTGTACCGCTGAAATGTAATTTGATTTGTATGATTGCAGAAGAAAATAAATTCAATAAAAATAATATATATATATATATATATATATATATATATATATATTTAAGAAATGTATTTAAAAGCCTAAAGACCTATATCAATATTTGATATTAAGTCCACGTGTTTGCATAATTAAATAAATATAAACATAATAAGGCTGAATTTGATTCAAACTAGTGACGATTGGGATATGATGATAGCCCTTATTATCATACCTTTTAATTGATTTTTTTTTTACTTTATTGATCATACCAGGTAACAAGGCGTGTAACCGGCTTTACGGGTGCTGTAATCGACGGCGAAGGAAGGAAGAAAAAGATATTACAAACTCCAGATATATCCAAGCAAGGCATCGGAAAGAAAATTTACTTCATGCCTAACTACCCACCTCGTTCTGATGCCGCATGTAGCTTGACTCAACCTCGTTCTGATGCCGCATGTAGCTTGACTCAACCTCGTTCTGATGCCGCATGTAGCTTGACTCAACAACCTCGCCCTGATGCCGCATGCAGCTTGACTCAACAACCGGGCCCATCATCAGAATCACAAGGCCATTGTTCAACACATAGCGAATGAATTTTAGATTGCCTTGTCAGAATATTTCATGCATTATCGGGAAATAAATAGAACATAGTACAAACAAAATAAAATTTGTCGATCGGAATCACTTTCACACCAGTGACAGACAGACGATTTGTCGCCAAGAAAAAGATATTACAAACTCCAGATATATCCAAGCAAGGCATCGGAAAGAAAATTTACTTCATGCCTAACTACCCACCTCGTTCTGATGCCGCATGTAGCTTGACTCAACCTCGTTCTGATGCCGCATGTAGCTTGACTCAACCTCGTTCTGATGCCGCATGTAGCTTGACTCAACAACCTCGCCCTGATGCCGCATGCAGCTTGACTCAACAACCGGGCCCATCATCAGAATCACAAGGCCATTGTTCAACACATAGCGAATGAATTTTAGATTGCCTTGTCAGAATATTTCATGCATTATCGGGAAATAAATAGAACATAGTACAAACAAAATAAAATTTGTCGATCGGAATCACTTTCACACCAGTGACAGACAGACGATTTGTCGCCTCGATCTTTGTTTCTATAGTAACCTTTGAACCAAAGCAAGACGGCGAAAAAGCCCACAGATGGCCTAAGCGCACGGCTAATGTCTAAATACAGATTTGTACTTGTGATAATGGGCAAAGGCTACACCACTGTAACCGATCTTCGACGAATAAAATTGAAAGGGATAGTTGAGTTCTTGTTTAAGACCGCAAATGCCTTCAAAGTGCATGGTTATTGCTCTTATTCTTTAATATTTATGTCATTTCTAGTGTCCTTTTAGAACCTAAAATTGCTATGAAGGTAATTTAATACCCGAAAATGTGTGAATTTAGATTGAATATAATCATATTAATTCAGCTCCACTTTCAAAAAAATACGGTGACTGTTAATTAATTGATTAATTAATAACAATACAGGGGCCGGCTGGTTTTGCGTATTATAACCAACACGAAAAAGCCCACAAAAAGCAAATATTGGCATGGGCTGGAATAAAAACGTATAAGGCGCTATCTCGTTTTTCAACGGCTGGTTCAAAGTTACCGAATATTTGTGGACCACCACAAATATTAGAAATGGTTATATTTATGGATATTTCAACCGCCTCTGAACCGATTTTGATCAAACAAAGATGATTTTGTCAATTAAATTGTATAAAATTAAAATTTGATCCTCAGTTTTTCATTTTCTCTCAAAAGATTATTTTGTGTAGCGCCCTCTGCAACAGAACTCAACTATTCCTTTTACTGTTTTGATTATTATATACATGTATAAAATTTATACAATATATACAAGAATTATAAGAATTGACATTTAAATTAAAATAATTATATATATATAACCCCATTTATTGTTGTATATAAAAATACACAGAAATTACGTAGGGTTAGACTTGTTTATGTTCTTACTCAGAATTATAGATTTTTTTCTTTCTTCCAGACTAATTATAGAAGAAACAACTTCATCTATCAAGTGTAATTTGTTTTCTTCAAAATCTACTTCAAATACTGACGGCGATTTAACGTTATTTTGATCTCTACAAATTAGCGTATTACTTTCTGTCCTTTTTCTATGTTTATTTGTACTCGAAATTTGTACTTTATATTCGTAAAGAACATAATAAAACATAGTTATTTATTTTTATTTTTTTAACATTATGCAAAATACTTTTATTTTAATATGATTTGAAGAGGCTCTGAATTCAAGCTGTGCTGTTATTGACTAAGTATCTTTGTTTTCTTTCAATGTAGGCTTATGCAAGCATTATTAAGTTACCCGATTGTATTGTAGTAACTAGACTATTAAAACCGACATACTCTTTTGTTATTTCGTATTAATACATGTATTCTACGAATTTGGTAGCTCATGTCCATTATACATTTTAGTGAACTTCTCGAAAGTAGCTAAAAAAGGGTTATTCCCAATCTGAGCGGAGAAGTGTGGACCGAGCCGTAGACCACAGGCATCGAGGTCAAGGGAGGGGGGCAGTCCGTTGAAGCTGAGATTGCATGGCTTATGCCGTGTGTAACGCTCAGGGTGTTCGGCGGAAAGTCATCTTCGCTCACCCATGCCTCTTGTCTGTGCAAAAAGCCAGCAAGAGATGGGGAAAGCCCGTTCGCATGGCCAGGCGAATGGAAGAATTGTTACGGCTATTTAAGAGATATTACTTTAAGGGTACGTTGATGCTCAGCTTTTTCTGGCCAGAATGAGGCATCTGTGACGCATTCAGTTCAAAACACGGTTGCGTCCTTTCTCACTTGTGTAGAATCACAGAAAAACTGCGATTACGATGAGCGTTTACGATGAGCGTTTCAAATCGCTCATTTTGCCTTCAAAACTGAGCATAAACGTACCCTTTGTCGCCCGGCCGGGCGATTACAAATGGTTCCTTACAGATCGGTCTCGACATAATTATTATAATGCTCGAAGTAATGATTTGCATTTATTGTTGTTTGCTATGTTTTCACTATATTTCCTTTGCTGACCAGTTTGATTGAAAAGAGTTAATTATGGTAATCAGCTCTCAATAATGACCATGGTCAAACATAAAAATAAAAATTTGTTGACTTCTTGTTTTGACTCAGAGTGGGAATAACTATGTACATGTACCTGAAGATGTGGCTGGGGTTTCATTATTGTATTACGTGTAAGTGCTTTGTAGGTTTCTTTCTGTTTATCTAATTTTCAATATATCCAATATGCTATTGTAACTTTTGTTTAGCATTGTAATATTCATCTATGATTATTTTAATTTGTTAGTGCTATTTGATTTTTTAAAATAATTTTTAAGTATTTGTTGACCATGATGAAAAACAGATTTACCGATCATGATTTAATCCTGTATAAATATGTGTCAATAAAAGATGTAATCGTGACTTCTATTATTATTATTCTTTCTCTATATGGCCTGACAATTTCTCTTCGTCCCCTTTTGACCTATATTACCTTTCACTCCCTATATTCTCCTTACCGCATTTAGCTGAAAACAAGCCAACGTAAGTGGCGCTCTTTTTTTACTACCGAATTTGCCGGGATTTTGCAGTCACAAGATTTTCCGGTCAAAACGGGCCACATAGTATTGGACTCACACTTCACTGTCAATATGACTAAGAGTGAACAAATGTAGTTTTTCCTAAATCTCGTATGATGTAAATTTATTAGAAATGTAGACCTTGGGTTATAGTTGGGTATATACAAATATATGTAAATCGGTCTGTATTTTGGTTTCATCCGTTCGATATTTATACGGGGGTAGTCAATATGTATTTGCGTTGTGACCGATGTATGTTTTTCGTAATATTCATTAAGGGTTAGGTTAAAATTGAGGAGTAGTTCAATTAAATCATAAGCAAAGGATTAATTATTCATATTAAATTTATATCAAATTCATTATTTCGCAATCAACTATAACACGAAAGGTCGCAGAAATTACGTTTAAATCTTGAAAAATAAAACTGTTGATTGTCCATCCAAAGCATCCTCCTATTTCCAATTGTATGCCTATCTTCCATCATGAAAAGAATCTCTTCTGTCATCCATTTGTTCCTTTTTTAATTTTTTTATCGGCACATACTTTTCCGGTGTTTCTACCAGAATATTTCTCATCGTCTTCCACGCGTTTTCTTCACCTTCATTTATAAGCAACTCAAACCTATTCTTCACTTGTACAGTATATGCTTGACGTATGGCCGGTTTACTCAACTGTTTTAAAATCTAATATTTTCACAACTTTTGGTCTCTTCAGTTTCTTTAATTTGTAATAAAGTGTACATATCACCGGCACGTGATCACTCCCGCAGCCAGCCCCTGGATATCTTTTTGCTTGTTTCTGTCGGGGACGAGATTTGTGTTGTTGCAAATGTAGAGCTGAAATTTGGTTTTATTGCTCAGAAGCTTAGCGTGCCTTTAAATATATGGATTGTTTATTTATAGCTGTTTGAGATAGTTGAGCAGAGGAACAATAAGCTGCACAGACTTGTTATGATAACTTGTTAGTTTCTCTGAGGTCTGTACATTGTTTAGAACAGGTGAAAATATCTTAGATGTACTCTAGTATGTAGTGAGACGCTTCACTCAGTAATATCTTTACTCTGTATTACCCTGATAGCAGACTGACGTCTTAAAGACGTCATAAATTGGTCGTAAAGTGGTAAACACGTCGTACGTCGTATGGACGACGTAATTATGACGTCATTATGACGTCTTCAAAAGACTATTTTTTCCAAGATAATTTTTGTCGCATTGACGACGTCATAACGACGTCATAATGACGTCTTTAAAGGACTAATTTTTTCAAGATATTTTTTGTCTTCTCGACGACGTCATAATGACGTCTTTAAAAGACTCTTTTTTCCAAGATAATTTTTGTCGTATTAACGACGTCATAAAGACGTCATTTTGACGTCTTTAAAAGTATATTTTTCCAAGCTAATTTTTGTCGTATTGACGACGTCATTATGACGTCTTTAAAAGACTATTTTTTCCAAGATAATTTTTGTCGTATTAACGACGTCATAAAGACGTCATTTTGACGTCTTTAAAAGACTATTTTTTCCAAGCTAATTTTTGTCGTATCGACGACGTCATTATGACGTCTTTAAAAGACTAATTTTTCCAATGTAATGTTGTCGTATTGACGACGTGCTAACGACGTCATTATGACGACTTTAAAAGACTTATTTTTCCAATGTAATGTTGTCGTATTGACGACGTGATAACGACGTCATTATGACGTCTTTAAAAGACTATTTTTTCCAAGCTAATTTTTGTCGTATCGACGACGTCATTATGACGTCTTTAAAAGACTAATTTTTCCAATGTAATGTTGTCGTATTGACGACGTGCTAACGACGTCATTATGACGACTTTAAAAGACTTATTTTTCCAATGTAATGTTGTCGTATTGACGACGTGCTAACGACGTCATTATGACGACTTTAAAAGACTTATTTTTCCAATGTAATGTTGTCGTATTGACGACGTGATAACGACGTCATTATGACGTCTTTAAAAGACTAATTTTTTCCAATGTAATTTTTGTCGTATTGACGACGTCATTACGACGTCATTATGACCTCTTTAAAATACTATTTTTTCCAAGATACTTGTTGTCGTATCGACGACGTCATTATGACGTCTTTAAAAGACTAATTTTTTCCAATATATTTTTTGTCGTCATTATGACCTCTTTTAAAGATTTTTTTTCCAAGATATTTTTTGTCGTAAGGACGACGTTATAACGACGTCATTATGACGTCTCTAATAACCTAATCATTTCCAAGATAATAATCGGGTAAAGACTACAACATCTAATATGAGCATAAGTCAAAGTAAATAGGGCAATTATCAGAATTGAAATTAGGGAACAACTCCCCCCCCCCCCCCCCCCTCAAATGTCATTAGTCATTATAGATTGTGCAACATCTTAACACGCACCAAGGTCTGCAATATCGATCAAGACTAAACATGCTCGCATCTAGTTCAAACGGGAGTGTGTACGTGTGTGTACAGATGCATAGTACTCAAGGCATGCAAGGCGTAGGACTACATGCACTATGCGATGTGTATGTAATGTATTTGAATTCAGAGTAAAAAAGCCGTTGCATCAAGTATCATCCTCCTGAATACTCTCGTTTTCTCCTGCAAATTTACAGTATGGGTAAGTCCTAGAATTACCTAATTTATTTACAAAAAGTACATAAATCTATAGTTACTGTTTTTTGTTCTGAAAAGTTTATATGTAGACTCAATGTATGATCTTATGTCACTATAATGTCAGTGATAGTGAGCTCGGACTTTCAACACTTGGTGACAAGATT